AAAGAGGTAAATTTAAAATCGCTTACACAACGGCCTGAGCTTCTTAAAATACAGGGACTGAAGATTTCCTCGACGTGCTAAAATATACGGAACTTTGAAATGTTTCGCGGTGTCTTGTTTATTCTGTTGAAGTAGACGAGTTGGAGATCTGTTTATTCGCGATTTGTTCGGCGTTATTAAAATACGGAAGTTTACAGCAGCTTGTAATAATCCGTTTCTTTTCACAAAATGGAGGAGCCTGTTTATCGCGATGTGCTCGGAGAATTTCAATTTGCTTATAATCGTCTGCTTGTTTTATTTACAGATAGAGAGAAACGTCAAGGATCTGTTTGTTAAACGATGCATTAACCAAATCGTACACAAGAAAGCGATTCGTTTCATCGCGAAATTCGCTTATCGTTTTAATTAATGCACGATCAAGCAAACTCTTGAATCCACTTATTCAATCGCGAGCTTTTATTTTATGAACGAAAAAACAGCAAAAAAAAGAAAAAAAAGTGGAGAAAATTGATGAACCCTTATTATGTGAACCTTAATTATACAAATTATCCGACAAGGTTGAATGAAAAATGAATAAAGACAAATTACTTCGTGCCCAAGGAGAGCTACATTCTTAATTCAACTTCTAACTTTGGCTTTACTCTCTTCCGGAAATGCAAGGCCCTTGAGAACAGAGAATAATAACACACGGAACATTTCCAACCGCACCAAGTACATAGTTATCAAAATTTGGTATTAAAATTTCGATGAAAGGCATCGGGATGGGAATTGAAAGGGGAAAGGGATACATTGGGGTGAGAGGTTCGACGCGTATGAAATGCAATTTTTTCCGATATTCCAGGGCGAAGTTTAACACGTCAAACGCTGGAGCGCGTTCATTTGTCGATCGGAAGGGAAACGAAACTATCGAGAAACATGGAGCGTTCCGTCCACTTATGGTCGGCAATTCGTACTCGAGCCAACGATGGTTTAATCGACACGTCCGCGCGATAAAGAAAAGCGCGGGACAAATCGAAAGAAATAAAAAAAAAAAAAAAAAATGGACGCCGGCTCGTTACGATTGATTATGAGCTGGCCGTTTCAACGAACGGAATAAATGTGCTCGATTCATCGCCGTATCCATTAAAGCTCCATTTGCCGGCATCCTGGACCGCGAACAAAAGCGATTATTGCTCTCAGCGGTGGATTTCATCGATTATATTGTTCCAAAGATTCTGCGTTGTACCTTTTAGTTAGCTAAAATGTCGCCGATTTTTGTTACTATTTGACCCTCGGTTAAGAGATAATTCTCAATTCGTAGATAACTTTTCGCGTTAGGTTCCTTCTTTTATTAAATAATTTAGTTTTCTAAAGTGTTATAGCGATTGAAAAAGAAATTTCATTTGCTTCTAAAACCAACGACTGCAGACATTTAAACGAATTCATCTTTCTACGAACAAACGTTAAGTAAAGAATAATTTTATCTATTAGTTCTAAATATTGTTAGATGTGCTGTATTTTGGATATTTCATATTCACATTCTTTGCAAGCGTTCAGATTCTTCGCAAATGCATAAAAATATGCAAGCAAGATGTACACGTATGCATGTTGTGCAACAATGCGAAAAGAATCGTGAAAATATCCAATTTTTAGTTGAAATTCATTTCGAAGAAGGAGAAAGAAAAAAAAAGAGAAATTTCATTTTCGCTGGCAACTCGTTGCATCTTTGAATGAAATTTTACTCGCAGCTGCTAAAAAAAATCGCGGAGAGTATAACGTAAGATTTTTTCTTATTAGGCAAACCAGAGAAACGTTGACCTCTGAAGCGTTGTTTTGTAAGAACAAGCTCATTTCAGTCTGAAGCGCTCGTAGCTTTAGTTAGTTTCCGGCGAATTCGTTTAGTCTTAAGGGAGCGTGTGTGTAACGCGGGTAGCGCCAAGTATTTTAGTGAGAAATCTAGAGAGAACGTTGAGGGAATTAACCCACGAGGTATGGTCGCGGGACTAACGAGAGAACTTGAATAATATTCTCTATAAGAAATTTCTCTCTCCGCGCAAGGAAAGCGCCGACGGTGTGATGTCGAGATGGAAATCTCGCGTGAATGTTTATTGCGAGTGACAAAGTTTCGAACGTTGGGAACGTGAACGAAGAATATTTGTAAAGAGCAGTTGAGACTGAAGGGTGCAGAGGAGGAGCTGGTGGAGCAAGGTTTTGGTTGAATGACCGAACGCTTCGAAGCGTCTGCAAAATGTCTGAGTTCAGCAAAAGAGAGAGAGAAAGAGAGAGAGAGAGAAAGAGAGGAAACCTGTGTGAACTTTAAGATTAAAGCTGAAAAATGCAGACTGATTGTACCAATTGTGTATTACACAAAAAAATACACAGAATGTGAAATATACGAAATATCCAACTATTTATTACGATGTTTGGAAAGTGAAACTATTTTCTACGTAGATAGTTCGCGAGTTTTAATCGTGATTATAAAAATATGGCGTTGCATTTGACATTGTTAAAAATATTATAGATGCATATTACAGACATGTGTTACTATATCATTATGTGTGATAAAATATTGTAACATTATGTAATATTATAAATATTATATAGAAAAATAACCACGTAAAATGAAAATAATTGTTATAAATACTCGACGAGTTGCTCTGTATCACACGATGAGAACGATGACATATTATTTTGATCAAAATTCAACTTGTACTCTTTTATATATACATACGTATATATATATCCATCATATATGTATGTACAGAGAACCCTGTTCCTTTCATTCCACCAAAAGTCGTCAGCAGATAAACCCCACGACAAATCAAACAACGTAGGTGCAAGCGTCCATTCCAAAATTTCGTCACGAATTCACCGTTCACTAATCCCTAAGACATACAATTCTGGACACGTTGCGTAGCGGAAACGCCCCGTCGTAATCGCGACTGACCACCCCGATGTACGAGTGCTCGCCAGCCGTCTCATCCATACACATACCGTCGTTATTGGCGCGTGCACACGCGCGTAATAGTAATTTAAGGCGACTGGCACGAGAAGGCCTGTTCCTCGTAATTTCATCGACGCCGGTAAATCGCTTTACCAGGCATGATGTATTTTGACGAGCTAATGGATATCACGCGCAGATTATCATGCTAAAGAGACGTTAATTAACACGTCGCCCCGTTGTAACGGCCGCTTACAGCTGGCTTGGGTGCTGGCTCGGCTCGGGCTGCGGATACACGTTCACGACAACGACGGCGACGACAAGAAAACGGGAGAGGAATCAGAGAGGCGAAGTGTTCGGCCGTTTGGCAATCCAAATGGTGGACGGCCTGGGGGCCTATCGGTGGAAAGGGGAGAAAAGTGGATGGGGGTAGGTTTCCGCATGATACGAGCAGATTTTCCCCTGTTCAAAAGAATGGAATTACGCGATGGTGGTGCCAACCCCTTTGTTTCCAACCCCTTCCCTGTCCCTTCTACAGTCGGCCTCTCCCCACCTTCCTTCTCTTTTTTTCTCTTTTTTCCTTTTCTTTTTTTTTCAGCGGAGCTAGGCTAAAACTGTAATCCGATTTTCTTGACGAGAGCAATTATAAAGAGTGGCAGTGCATTAATTCTGTCGGTACGGCTGCCGCTCGCCGCAAAATTGCTTTATAATTGGTCGTTCGTATAAAAATCTGTCAGACGCGATCCTCGTCCGCGGTGAATGAGAAAAGAGATCCAGTTTGATAGTCACGAGCCTCACGAAGGTATGTGATTACTTGACTGACAATGGTTGATGTAGAGAAGGGGTAATTGTTTCGAGAGCACTGGCATTAGAATTGAAATTGGAGATACAACTGAAAACTAAGATTTCAGTGCCGAAGATTTTACTACGATGTTAATCTTCAATATCAATTCTTGAAAAAATGAAACAAAAGCGAAAATAATGTTGTATTGTAGATACGTCATCTCTAATCTATATCAGTTTCGTATTGGACTCTTTGAAACTCTATAAGTTCTACAAGCATTATTATTATTCTACAAGTTCTGTAAAATACAAATATTTCGAATAAGACATTCCATATTTTAAAATTTATTTCCATAAACTGCCACCGATTGAATTTCGATCGAAGAAATTATGCTTGGAAGTATATGAAAGTATAAGCTGTCTGCTTCACTACGTTACAAGTTCTTGACACACTTACGATTAACGTGATTTCTTGGTAAAGATTGTGAAAAACCAGCGCTCGCTTGGTAATATCTTTAATCACCCCTAAAAGAGTTAGTCCTCAAGGAGCATTAAACAAATTTTAAGTAATAGTGCTTATAAAGTTTCAAAGTTGACCTGAATAATTTTTTTCGCAAAATAACTTCCAGATGATGCACGTATTAAAAGTTTGCTGGAAGATGTAGCGTCTGCGTGGGCGGCCGAGAAGCGTCTGACTATAGACGGTTCATTACTACTTGCGCTCCTTTTATTCTTCTATTCAATGCAAACGCGCACTTGTTTTTTTCTTTTATATCAGGTTGACGCACGGGAAATGTTGTTTCTTCGAATTTTAAATTCACAAATTGCCAATTGTCAATTACATTAAACGGAAAAAAAAATTGGTATAATGATATTTACAGCAGAAATCAAACCGGCGTTAATTCTAGTCATAATATTTGGTAGCAACAATTATTCGAAAATAGTTCAAAACCTTTCTATTTTCCAATACAATTTCACTCCTACAAACAAACTTTTACGAATCAGTACGTTCAAAATCAACATGCCAGCAAGATTGCATGTCGAGACATCGTTGCGAACACAAACGAACGCGTAATCGACTCGATAAATTTCAAATTGATTCCGCGCGTTTCCTCGAACGTCGCGTTCTTAACGACGATAAAAGAGACAGTCGAGTGGTCGCGAGTTCGAGGCAGGAAGAAAACGTAGAAAAAGAAAAAAACAGGGAAAGAGAGAGAGAAAAGAAACGTAAAAAAGAGAGTGCGGACATTTTCGAATCGATCGGCAGGCGAGCAGCCAGAAGCTGGTGTGTACGTACCTCCATGCCACGTCGATTTCTCCATCGCACCCACTTGTTGAACCCCGGTCGCCAATATTCGACGAAGTACTCTTCGGTGTACTCGACCCCGTGGCCGTTCCCGAACCTGCCCTGGGTCCTGGTCGACGTTAGTATACGCGGACTGTGCAGATTCACCTCGAGGTACTCCTTGCCCTCCTTCGTGACCATATTTTTCGGGCACCAGGCGCCGCCACCCTTGTCTTGCCTCAACCTGGAAAAACCACGGGAATTATTACAACTGCCACGGGGATATTCTTCGCGCAATAATAGCAAACAGACCGTGCAAGTTTTTAAACTGAAATCACGCGATTACCTACGAGATAGAAATTGGTAAAAAAAATATTTGTTAATAAAATCGTCTTGTTCACTCGTGAAGAAAGTGATTCAAAAACCTATGTTTTTCACGATGGATTATTTTTGAGTAGAATTAGAGGTTATTCTGTTAGTCTTTTCTTTGTTCGAACCACTATTTTTGAATAACTCATTGATCTAATATGTTTGTATTTAAAAAAATTAATTCGGAAAGGAATTACTCCTTGACAGCGATGTAGGTCACATATAAGTATTATAACTTTCGATTTACCCTTCTTTGTATTCTCGAACGAAGAGCGAGGTTCGCTGACAATCTTAAGGATGCTGTATTTTTTCACAAATCCTTCGGTAAACAGAGATACTGTTCCCTCGTTTCGTATGAATAAGCAATGAAGGTTGTATTTAACGCGCGGGAGTGTACAGCAAATTTTCCTTCCCAACAGCCAAGGGAGAGAAACATATTTCTGCAAACCCTCGGCGTTTCGATACGCGTAGAAGAATAATTAATGGCTGCTCCTGCCTCCCTCTTTCCCTATATATATATTTTTTAGCGAACGCGATTCCCCACAGCGATCGACCGGTGTACCCGTATAAATTAATGACTCGCGGATTGATTTACGAGCGACCGTTTAACTGGAGATCCTTTTTTTTTTTTCACTGTCGGTTTTAAATTATTTATAATCATTCATGTGTGCTGATCTGCATTTCGAGATGATAGAAAAAGATGGAGAAAAATAGGAAGAAAGTGAGAGAATAATATAATTTATTACAGTATAATATAATTATACGGGGGTGAAAAAAAAATTATTTATAGACGGTACTAATGTTTGAATAGTAATATAAATATTTATAATTATTTATGTGTGTCGGTGCGCATTTTGAGATAATGGCTTTCAACACAGCGGTGTCAAGAGAGGCGGGGGATAACAGCGAGAGTGTGAGAAGGTAGACAGTGGTACAAGGTGGGAAAGCAATCGGCGTTTAATCATCGCGTACCGTTCTGACCCATTTATGTACAACGTCGACGCGGAGAACAACGACAAAGCAGCTTCGATTCCAGGCCACTTCATCGACGATGGAACGCCGTTATTATCGACGCTCAACCTTTACAGCTGCGCAGCTTCAACGGAATTAATGTGCTCGACTCTTTCTCAAGAAATACCCCCAAGGAACGTACAACTTGAACGAGTTGCGATTTCGCATTTGAAACGAATGTGTGGCTTTTTCGAGGGTCGTGTGCCGATTTTGTAGAAGCGACAGGGTTTCATCAAGACAGGCATTTATCAACGATGAATACTTGACCTGGTAAGTTGAAGCTGTATGGAGAAGAAGAGTGTTTGGATTGTACGTCGAAAGTCATCGCGCGAACAAACTGAAACTTCTACGCGAATTATGAGAGATTGAATTACTCGTTTAGGAACGATTGCTGAATGTTTGAAATTATCGCGAGGACAGGGAACAAAATCATCAGTGAATTTTGAACGATTACAATGAATGAAAGATATATTTAATGAATATTTGGATCAATTCAGATTTTAGTTAGTTTATCTTAGTCTGTTTTGCATGTACGTTTCGTAAGGTATAAAATAGAAAATTAGAAGTACTTTTGCAAACTTGAGTAACACGAAGTATCGCAACTTAGCACGTAGTCGGGGCGTATAATTGTGCACAATATCATTGTTTCATTTATCACTTTAGTGAAAAACTTATCTGTAACTTGACACTCCAACAAAGTCTCATACATCATATCCAACGTCTGAAGAAACTAACTGGCAAAACATCGCGAATATAATTCCCGATTGAACGCGACTGTTATCGAGATTTCTCGTGCCGTAACGTGAAAGCCTGTCTTTACGCTCGGGGCAACGATTCGCGAGCCGAAACAATTTATCTCGTCCACGTCCGAATCCAAGCCCGCTCGTAATTTCAACGATCCGCGAGAAAGAGCGTCTCCTTGCCCAACAAACAAACCCCCTCGCACGCTAAACTTCCACCGCAGAGATACCTCCTAATGTATTCCTCTTGAGAACCGTGCGGAACGGTTCCTAGACCATACGAGAATCATGGACATTCCGTGTGAACGAGACCCATAATTTCCAGCACGAAACGAGTTTTTAATTCAGCAAAGACCCTGGAAGAACGTGGCCCCGATCCATACCAGGATACGAGGGCCACGTTCGATCCACCTGCTGAGCAGACAGCACGTGGCCGACTTTCCACGCGTGCCCCCTCCCGCCCCCCTCGGGGGGCTAAAAATATACGGCCACGGCCGATAACAAGATCGTATTATATACGGGCCGGAGATTCTTCGCGTGATAAGAAAGTTAGCCGGCGGAGTTTAATTTTAAGCTCTATTTACCCCGCGCAACGAGCTTTCGGAATTAAGGATACTGGACGAGCGAACCACCGCATAAGCCGAGTGGCTTATTATCGCTCGCGAGGAGGCCGGCGGTCCGCTGTTAAACAGCCAGACCGTTGAACCTCACCGACCGGACTTCCCGGGCCACGATACAATTTCCTTGATTTTCAAAGCTCGTTAGCGGTAATCGTCTCGAAATGAAACTCAACCCCCTTCTCGCCAGAGAGGGGTTGGCCAGAGCGGCCAACTTCTTTTTTTTCTTTTCTTTTTTTTTTTCTTTTTTTGCTTCTCCTCCTCCCGATATCGCGCAGATTCCCTTCGTCAATTAAAATTAATGAAAGCTGACCCACCGGCTCGCCGCGGGCAGACCCTGCCTCTGACAGGCCGCGATACTTTGTTCCGATCCCGAGGCTCGACCCCGCGCTGGTAATTAATCTATTATTTCGTTGCGATCCACTGTTCTGACGAGTGGATAGTTTGGCAGCCGGCCGTTCAACCAGCGCGTTGGATATTTCGATGATAAGGCGATCCGCGTTAATTATCGGATGATTCGAGCGAGAATTTACGTTGCGTTGTTTAGAATCGAAGATTTTACCGAAATCTGTTCGATTCGAGTCGGGAGAATTTGGATCGTTTCGATGACGGCGCGACTTTGTGGCAAATATTGATTTCACCTTTCATTTCTTTCTCCGCAACATTGAAAATTTCGCAGGAATATCAACTGCAGGTAGTACGTATCAATTCAAATCAGATAATTTTAATTATATCAATTATTTGATTATTTAATTTCAACGACGATTTGTATATATTTGATGACTGGAATTTGTAATACGTCTTATTTAATTCTGTGTGTCACATTGAAGAATTTTGTTAAAGTATATTGCAAGAATGGGATGTACCGTGGCAAGTAGCATACGTTACTTTAAATCAGACGATTCGAATTACTTCGAACAATGAACCAATTTATGGATGATGATTATTACCTTTTATTTCACTCTCTATCGCGTCGAGGATTTTATTAAAATCTGTTGCACGAGCAGGATGGACTCTATAAGTAGTACGTACCAAACGAATCAGACAACGTGACAACAATACATAGCTTACAGTGAATATCATTTTAGTAAAAGTCCTGAAGAAGTTGTACTACTTTATGTGCCAATATGTAAAGTGCAATTTGACAACCGTAAATTATTCAACGCACACGCTTGAACGATGATCGATTATTTCATCATCCCATCGACAACAAGTATTAAACTTCCATTAAACGCTTAGCCCAATTACCGTTACATCGTGTTCAATCTCATTTCGAAAGAAGATCATCGGGACACCCTCCATCTGATAACCATTAACAAACTCCGCAACACCATGCACTCACTTATTCCTCGCACACTCTCCTCAAACAACGGACCTTTCGGCTCATCCGCCGAAAGCGGATGGAAACTTCAAAGCAAAGAAGACCTCCATCGGCGAAAGATAACGGTGAGGGGAACCGAGGCGGCACGCCGGCCTCCATCCGTGAGATCCGAGGCTCGATTTCCACGGCAGAAGCGCGGAATTCCCCACGAGTGGACGTTACACTTCCGGTGTATCCTATACGATCCACGTTCCGATCCAGATAGACGCTCGTGTTCATGTGCCGCACAAAGCGGCACGAGAGAGAATCTCTCCATGGAAATATTTCAGCTGGTTCGGTCGTCGAGCACTATCATACAGGCGGCATGCCCGCATGTAAACAATAGACCGGGCGAAACCCACTGAAAGCGTTTGCGGTTAATTAGGCAGCAATGCTGTTAACAATGTCCTGGCTTCGTCCCTCTCTGCCCCCCCTCGCTACCGTCTGCCTCTCATCTCTTCTCAACCCGTTTTCGTCTATCCTGTCCCACGGACCTTCAGCCAGCGAAATTCACCCCGCAACGCAAGCCATCCCGGCCAGGATTTCGTCCGAATAAAGTTATCCCACTCACACACACACACACACACACACAGACACACGACCTCTCCTTTAAACCGACCGATTCCACGATCGCCTCGAGGTCGCTAATTATCTGTCGTCGCTGCGGGTTAATTACGCCAGCAAGAAAATTAACCGTCGCGACGCGACGCGCGCAGGTCGTTGCAAAATTTCGACGAGGACAGCTTCGTCTGTCCGCCGAATTTTTATTCTTGTTTCTCGACGATCGCTTCGGTGAATTCTTTCATTTTTAATCTCTTTAGACGAGGGTCATTGCGCCTTGGTGTTGAAACACGGTAAGGTAGCACGGTGTCGCGTGTAAAGGTCGAATATGTTCGTGAAAGTTGGACGACGTTTTGTAAGTTTTCAAAAAACGAGCGTCTCGAGATGGGATTCGCGAAATCTGAAATTGAACCTGAACAGTCGAGTAATATTGTAATGACGAATTAGTGGTGTTTTTGTAAGTCACGATGAAATAATTTGCGACATTCCACAATTTCTAGTTGTGATGCATTATAAAACACGATGTCCATTACAAACGAAAGCAAACGATGCTCGACGAATCGGGAGAAATTTAATCCTGTGACCA